TAAAAAGTTAAGATCCTGTTTATTTATTTTCACTCAACCTCACGAATTTCTCCTTTCTACAAAATTTGTTTTCAAATTAAATCTTCAAAATTTATTTCACTTAGTAAAATTCTCCTTACTCAAATAATTACATAGTAAATTCAAATTACCATGAAATGTTTTTATTGTGATGGTGAGTTGAATGTTGATGATAAAGTTATGTGGGAAGTTGACTAAATGGTTAGATGATTATAGTGAGTTGAAATTGAATGCCTTTAAGATGCTTGTGAAAATGCTTGGATGAAGAATTTATAAACTATTTTGAATAATATTGAATGCTAAGTGAAAGATTGATGAAAAAATTAAATGTTGAAAATTGTTAAATTTGCTTGGATGTTTGCCTCATGATTTATTTATTGGTGATTGTTCTCATAGTTTTTGTAAATATGCTTGAAAGATTTGTTGGTGGAAATTAAGTTGTTAAATTTTTACTGTAGAGCCTTGATAAATTATACATGCAAATTGAGGAAGTATATGTCTTCATATAAATTGTAAAGGTGATCTACCTATTAGAATTGTATAGCAGTTGGAGGGAAATTATTAGACTAAATAATAATAATCAAGATTTTACTAAGCTTGAAACAAGAGTTTTGTTAATGGTTGTAGTTGGATGTTGTCTAGTATTGTTAACTACTTGATAGAAGTTGTTGAAGGATTTAGTGAGAATTTAATGGGGTTAATGAGAAATTTAAAGGATTATCAATGATTTTGAATGTTAATTTGATTGTTTATTATAAGAAGGAAAATTCATAATGACATGTGAATTGTTAGATTATGTGCTAGATTAAATTGGGGTATCATTGGAGTAAGTAAAAAATTTAGGGAGTTCGACTATAAGATGTTTGGAAATTCAGGTGAGTGAGCAGTGTCTTAAATAATTTATTACAAAGTGTTATAGAATTTCTTTATTTAAATTTTAAATTTTGATATTATTCTTTTATAAGTTATATAAAAATTCTTGTAAATTCTATTTTTATGATTTATATTATAAATAAGAATTGATTGAAGTTGATACATAATAAATGGTTCTAATTTTTAAAAGTAAGTTAATTATTTAAATCTTTGTTGATATGAAAACTTTTAATACAATAGTTTGTACAAGGAGAAAATAAAAATGAGTTTAAAAATGAAATATAGTAGTTGAACGATATACTTTGAAAATGAAAATATTGAGTTGCTTTTTTCCCCAAGTCCTTACACGCTTGATAATTTTTACTAGAGGACTGAGTTTAGAATGTTGAATGCTATTGACAGTTTTGTTAGCCCTTGATATGCCATAGTACATCTAACTAGTAGAGTGTTTATAGGAGGTGCTAACCCAATAGCCAAGCCAACGTACAAGGAATAGAGAATGGATATTCGTAAGCATTATACTTACGCTTGTTTCATGGGCTGCACACCTGTGCTTGTTTTATGGCTTTTAGCCATGCTTGATTATTTCGTGGCTTGTTAATTATTCTGATTAAGTCTCACAAACATGAAATTTTGAAAAGTCATTATTTTTAAATTTAGTCTAATAAATAAATTGTTGTTTAATTGTATATGATCGATCTTACATGGTAAATTTTCTCTTATATTGGATTTAAAAATTTATTATTTTATATTAGTTATTTATAAATTTTTTCCTTGATTATTTCATCATTTGAATTCTTTTTGTATATTTTTATTAATTGTACAATTCTTAATAACCTATAAAATTTTAAAATTATTGGTTTATTTTATGGTCATATTGTTTAGCAACTTTGTCTTTTATTGGTAGTTATAATATGTGATTTAATATTTCATCGATTTATTTTAAACCAAATTTTATTAATTACTACTTTTACATATTTTATCTATAATTTTGATCAAGACGCCACTCATCAAAAATTTCTTTGGTCTCAGGTAATGTAATTGACTCTGCACTTTTTGCTGATCATTGAAGGATTTTATTGCTTTTTTTGGATGACGAAAGCATGCTTCAATCATTTATTTTAATGTAAATATTCATTATATTATATAATAATAGTTAGTGCTCCACGTATCTCGTAATTAGATCCTTATTTTAATTTGCTAACATGTAATTCGCTAGTATGGAGCCTGTCTCCTATATTGGATTGATTGGCTAGTTTCACTATTGTAAGAATTTTGAGAGGTTTAAATTATAAGAGAGACTCTACCGAAATTTCTACAAACATTTAAGACTTTACAAACTTTATAAACAAATATAAAAACTATATATATTGATAATTTAGTTTAATTTTTGGTTAATTAAGGCTTATAAAATTTGAGCTTATCTCATATTCCGTGCTAGTCATACCCTTAATACTGGGGTGTGACATGCAGACTCCAAGTTGTGGAAAGAATTTGTTAGAATTTGGCCTAAGATTATGGATAACATTGTATAGGATGTTCATTATGGGGATAACACCTTATTTTGGAGAGATGTTTAGGTTGATCATTGTGGTAAATCGGAAGATTGTTGTGTGAAAGAGCTGAATGAGGAGATGAGAGGATGGAAAGTGAAGGACTTGTTGAATAGGGAAGGGCAATGGAGAATGGAGGTCTTATTGGAATATTTGCCTACTGACTGTGTAAATAAAATTAGAGCTATAGCTCCTCCAAGCTTGGATAAGGGACCTAATGTGATTAAATGGAAAAATGATATGCATTACAAGTATTGTGTGGTTGATACGTACAGGTTTTAAAGGGAAAACAATAATAAGTGGACATTTTATGGAATAGAATTTGGAAGTGGAAAGGTTCGAGAAGGATTCAGACATTCATGTGGCTAGCTGCTCATGAAAGATTGCTCATAGTTGAGAGGAAGAGTAGAATTATTGGTAGGTCTACAGTTTGTAGTAAGTGTGATAGGTTTGAGGAAGATGTTACTCATGTCTTGAGAGATAGTTCTTTTGCTAGATAAATTTGGGAACAATGGAATATTAGAAAGGTGAATGGGAGGTTACTTTCTCTTGATAGGAAAGATTGGTTCAAAATGAATTTGTCTAATATGGATGAATGCTAGGTAACTATGTTTGGAGGAGTTGTATGGATGCTTTGGCAAGGGAAGAATAAGGGGTTGTTTGATATAGATTTTCATATGCCTGATAATCCTCACGTGATTATAAGAAAGTATGCACATGAAATTTCTTACTCAACTAGCAAGGTTTGTGGGAATTGGCTTAGAAGACAAATAGAGGAAATAAAATGGCCTAGGCCACCTGTGGAGAGGTTTAAATTGAATTTTGATGGTGTTACAAGGGGTCAACTAGGTGAAGCAGGATATGGAGGGTTAAATCGTGATTGTAACGAGCGATAGATTGGCGGATTTATTGCACAACTAAGCACTTGCATTGTTGTGAAAGTCGAATCATGAAGAGCTATTCATAGAATCAGGTATGCTCGTAAATTGAATATATAAACTTGTAGTTGGAAGTGATTTTATGGCTGACGTTAGCATATTACAAAAGAATCATAGATGATGATATAATTGAGTCTAGTATAGTTAAACTGTTGAAGGATGATTATTGTACATATTGACAAATAATGGTTAAACATAGATATAGAGAAGGAAACAAGATGGCTGATTGTTTAGCTAGGCATAGTTTTGATTTGGATTTTAAGGTGGTGTTTTTTGACAGACCAACCTTAATATTCAGGGATGTATTGTATAATGATTTGATGGAGTGCTCTACCTCAAGAGCTAATATGATATAATGAATTGATTGGGCTTTTGCCCCCTATTTTATCCAAAAAAAATATAACCAATCCTTATCTTAACTAAATTTAATAATATCTAAATCTATTTTTTTAGTTGGTAAAGTATGTGTTTCTTTAACGTATACATCTAATTGATGATAATAGATAAAAAAGGTGTATAAATAGTCTCTCAAGAGGTGTTTTCCCAAGGTATTAATTTTTGTCCTCATGTTTACAAAGTGAAGTTTTCCAATATTTTTCTTCCATCCATATGAAATATTTGTAAAAAAAAAATTTCTTCGCTATTAGTATAATATTAAGAAATATAATATTAGTCATACTCTACTTCTTCCATTAAAAAATATAAGACATTGTTTGAGGAGTTGGATATTAAAAAATGTAAGGCATTTTTAATCTTTTGAGATGTAATTATTGCCTTTTTTTTCTCCAAAAGTACTCCTATTGATAATGATTTTATATTTATTATAGAGTGTTTAATAGAAGTAAATATAGAAAGATAGAATTAGTTTGAAAATAGGTAACTATTTTATTGAGAAGTAAGATTCTATTAAAAATATTTTACATTTTTGAATGGAGGGAGTACTTGTTTCGTTATACTTATTGCAAGTATATTAAAAAAATACAATAAATACATAAAGAAATGGTATACTTTTTTAATTTTCTCTTCATTATTTCAATGTTTTAGCACTTCTAAAACCATGGAGTAAGTAATAGAGTATTTTTCTTAGAGTAAAATAGGAAAAAATGTCATTAAATTTTATATATTGAAAATCTAAAATAACATCCTAAAATGACAATTTTTGAAAGAATTTTTTTATTTCAAAATATAAGATATTTGAGTAGATTAAGATTTTATTAGATAGGCCAATTTCAATTTTATCATTTTCTCTTTTTATAATTAATTTTCATTCATTTTCTTTTTAATATATTAAATTATGAATATTTTTAAAAGTTTATATTTTTATTTTGAAAAGATAAGGTTATTAAGTATACTTAATAAAATTTATTAATATGTGAGATTTTATTTAAAAATATTTTATAATTTAAGATCGAGAGAGTATTATATTAAATATTATTATTTAAAATATAAACATATTTTTAAACAAATATTTTTAATTAATGTTTCTGGCCATTTCATTTTATTTTTTTGCATTACAAATGATTTTCTGACATCAGTTTTCACTTCTCACCCACAAACGGTCTTGAAAGGTGTTTGGTCAATGAAATTCCGAAAATGGGGCAAATGAATGGAGTTTTTACCTAACCGCTCCTTCGTTGTCAGGCTCTCAGCTTGCATCTTCCTTTTCCTTGATCCTAATTATCTCTGCTCTTCGTGTCGCCACTCAAACCCTAACTAGCTGCGCGCCTGGGCGAGTTTCTCACAGAGCCATGGCCTTCAAGCACCTTCTATCCCTGGCTCGGCGCTCGCGACGACGTCGCTTATCCCCTCTCTCATCTTCATTCCAGACCGTCCGAACCTCATCATCCTCACCGGCCGTCGCTACTCCATCGTCCCCTCCCTCCCCTCCTCCTCCCAATGTCATGATCTACGATCACCTGGCCGAGGCTGTGAAATCCAAACTCAGGCAGCTCGAACATCCCGACCCACGATTCCTCAAGTACGGGTCTCCCCGCCCCACCTTGTCGGATCATACACGGATCCTCTCTGCACCCGAAACTCGCGTTACTACTCTTTCTAATGGACTCCGGGTGGCCACGGAGTCTAACCTTGCAGCGAAAACTGCAACCGTAGGCGTCTGGATTGACGCAGGATCGCGGTTTGAGACCGAGGAGACTAATGGGACCGCGCATTTCCTCGAGCACATGATCTTCAAGGGCACCGAGAAGAGGACGGCTCGCGAGCTGGAGGAGGAGATTGAGAATATGGGTGGGCATTTGAATGCGTACACCTCGAGGGAACAAACTACTTATTACGCCAAGGTTACCGATAAGGATGTTCCTAAGGCACTTGATATTTTGTCTGATATATTGCAGAATTCAAAGTTTGATGAGAACCGAATTAGCCGGGAGCGCGATGTGATACTCAGGGAAATGGAAGAGGTAATGGGGATTACTTTTCGTTGTAGAACTGAAGTATTCTAGCTCAGTGCAGCAAATTCGGATAATAATTGGTAAATGTTATCTGCTTTCTCTTGTCTATGCCATTTGCGGGGGCAAAATAATTGATATTATATTAAACTTGTTATTTTGTTGACTTGGTAGTTTTTAAATCTGAAGCTCGTTGGCTCAAACTTCTCGGTCGTGTAGGTCAGGGCTTAAGCTTGATGGTTTGGTTTACTGTTGATTCTTTTTTTATCTTTCAATTTTCTTGTTGTTTTGGACTAAATACAAGGTTTTGACTTTTACTTTAAAGGAGGTTGGTTGTACTTTCAGTAGCTTGCTCATGAAATTTTAAAAGCCTTTCAACTTTTTCATTTCGTTAGGTTTGGCTGATATGCTATTTATTTGTTGAGGTTTTTTCTTTGCATCTTCATATTATATGCTAAAGCGGTTATCTCTTTCTCCAAATTAAGATAAGAAAAAGATTAAGATAATAGTCGAATTAGTGGGTTGTAATTTTTGTGTTTGGCATTGCAGCATAAGTAACTATTTCTAGTATTTTAATGTTTTCTCTTTTACTGTTATAATAACTGTTTCTGGGTAATTGAACTACTCTAAATTAGTAGTTTATACTTGAAAAGTTATTCTTAGATAAAGTGTCGGACATAGTTGAATTGTGTTGTATAATTTATCATGCTTTTATATTCTAATTTGTTTATTACATGGAAATGCTGGTAGGTTGAGGGGCAAACAGAGGAAGTCATTTTTGACCATTTGCATGCAACAGCTTTCCAGTACACTCCTCTGGGTAGAACTATTCTTGGACCTGCTCAGAACATTAAGACAATCACCAAAAATCATCTACAGAGCTACATTCAGACACACTACACAGCTCCCAGGATGGTATGTGAAATCTTGAGATCCTGTTTGTTTGTTTATCCTTCTTAACAGGGGATGCATAGTATTGCTAAATGGATGACTTGGTTGTCCTGTAACTTTTTTTTTTTTCTTTTTTTCCCATTCAGTTCATTATTCAGTACCGGAATATGGTATTTACCCTAATGGCTAATTGGCTATATTCTGTTTGGGTCTGCTTTGTCAGGTTATAGCTGCGTCTGGAGCTGTGAAGCATGAAGATATTGTTGAGCAAGTAAAAAAGTTATTCACTAAGTTGTCAGCAGATCCCACTACCGCATCTCAATTAGTTGCAAAAGAACCAGCTATTTTTACTGGTTCTGAGGTGTGAATATACATAGTTGAGTACATGACATCTAACTTTGTGTTGATTATAATATTTCATAACAATTTCCTTTCACTACTTGTGTGATACAGGTTAGAATGATTGATGATGATATTCCCCTCGCACAATTTGCAGTGGCTTTTGAAGGAGCAGCTTGGACAGATCCTGATTCCATTTCCCTGATGGTCATGCAAGCTATGTTGGGCTCTTGGAACAAGACAGCAGGAGGTGGAAAACATATGGGGTATGGTACTTGAGGATTTTTTTTTTTTTGCATTCAACCTCACAGATGCTTAGGTTGAGAAAATTTTAACTGCATTAACAGTTCTGAGTTGGCACAACGGGTTGGCATTAATGAAGTTGCGGAAAGCATGATGGCTTTCAACACTAACTATAAGGATACCGGCCTTTTTGGTGTTTACGCTGTTGCTAAGGTGAGTCATCATGTAGTTTTTGTATTGAAACTGGTTAAAATATGCTAGAGCTAGTACGCCCACACACACGGATATATATGCTAATACTTACATTAAAGCTTGAGGACGATAAATCAAATATCTTTGCTGTAACAAAGCACTTTGTTTATTCTCTTTAAGTTTCTATAAACACCTTTTAGGGTCCTGCAGGTCTTTCCTTTTTGTTTAAATGTCTTTGGATTTTCATTTTTTCCTATAATGATTTAGTTAGAAAGTATCTAGACTATGATGCAGGGTCTTTATATATCAGCATGTTCAACTTGATTAAGGTGCCATTTTGGGGGTGTGAAGGGTCTGTGGACGTTATCTCTTTGGTCAATTCAGAGTAAGTTTGTGGAAAAGCGGTCTAACCATCTAGGGTTCTTAATAGGGATAATCGTAAGCTATTTTTTATCAAGTCAACTGATCCAAGTGAAATTGAGTGTCCAGAATCTTGATTAGGCAAGAGTATAGAGGAAGAACAATAACTTAGGTTTTACATCTAGGCTTCCTAGGCATCACAAATAACTCATGCCTTGTTCTTGTCGGACATTATCAAAAATAAATGAGACAAATGAAAACTGGAAAGCTAAAGCATATGCATACTATGAAGATATTTTCTTTGGGATGAACTACTGAGATATTAAATTCCCAATTTTAAGACCCGAATGTAGCATAACACCCTGATAGGAAATACAAAAGACAACGGGAAAGATGTGTAGCAAACTCTTCCTCATGCTGCCTAATTACTTGCTCTCTCCACCTTTTATGCGAAGTTATTTCCAGCCTTTTTGGCATTTAGCTTTCATCAGACTATATTTGCACTAGATCCTGTTATAAGGAATACGTAGCAGTTACCTTCTATAATTTGTATGCTGACCAGAAAAAAAAAAAAGCTTTCACTCAGTGATGATGGGTATGATTTTTGTGTAACTTGGACTTTGAATAAATAAACTCCGTATTTATTAATTAAGCAGAATACCATGGTGCTAGTTATCTCAAATGTGGATATATTAATGACATTCTAAATTCCAAGCATTTTGCTAGTTTGTCAAAAGATATTTTTGATATTTGAAATGGTATCATTTTTAAGCATGTGTATTCACATCATGGTTTTGACCAAAGCAAATGTGAAAGTAGCGTTGCAGAAGTTGTAGAATCACTTTTCCAGCACACGAAGTTGAGTTGGTTGGAAAGTACAATGTCTAGTATTTGATTTATTGATTTGTTTTCTAATAAACTTTTCCCTCATGTCTTCAAATGTTTTTTTTTTTTTTAAACAAGCCACGTCTCTAATTTTTAATTCTTGCAGCCTGATTGCTTGGATGACTTGGCTTATGCAATAATGTATGAGACCACAAAGTTGGCTTATCGTGTTTCAGAAGATGACGTCACACGTGCTCGTAATCAGGTAGGAACCTTTGTTTGCTTTCTGAATTTGTGCCCCGTCCATCTTAATTCAAGTTGAGAATTGGAATTTCACTTTATCTTAGTACAAACATTGAAAATACTTCATGGATTAGTTCGTCCCTGATGTGGTTTCTAAAACGGATAGAATAATGTGGTTGTGGCACACGCTCAGTTTATGCATTTGTGCCCATAGGTTGATCAGACCTTCTCATTTGTACCATCCTCAGTACACCATAAAATACCTTTTAAATCTTCAAGCTGAGTTTTCTTTTGATTCTTCTCCAATGTGGATCTTGATCCTTTGCATTTAGTTATTGTAAAATCTTTGTTTGATGTAGCTCTACTTGCAATTCATTTTTATAGCCTGTTCATAGTTATAGTGACTGCTATGTGTGTTTATTTCAGTTGAAATCTTCACTCCTGCTACACATAGATGGTACAAGTCCAGTGGCTGAAGATATTGGGCGCCAGGTACCTAATTAGATTTTTCTTGATGCTACTTGTAAATAAAAGCAATGGGAACAATGTCATATTGGTTGGGCATCTCAAGTAACATGGTATGCCTACGTATTTTAGACCATGTTATAGAAGTATCACCAAAAAAACCCTGCTATAGAAGATACCATGAGGATCTCATATCAAATCTTGTGTCTGATTGCTATTAATGCCACTCACTATCTTTGACAATTTCAATTGCCAACATGGACACCAATGGAATCTTATGTTTGTTATCCTAAACCCATGGTGCGCAAGATACCAAGTAATGTGAAAGTGAAATGGCAATTTATCAAATTCCTCTTTAGTTTCCAATCTTCCTTGTGTTATGTTACAGAGATGGGCAAGATCAGTGGATTCTTTTTTCTTTGGATAAAAGTGGATTCTCTTTGTATTGGCCTAAAAAACATGATTAGATATTTCCGTAAACCCAAGTGATTGGAGATTTGTGGTTGTCTGATCTGATCTCATCAATCTGTATTCCTCCTTGTCAATAGGGACTAGCTTGCTATGCTGCAGCATTTTGCCTCTTGCACTATATTATAATTGTTAACGAATTGCTCTATCCATAAAATTTTATCAATTTCAGTTACTCACCTACGGTAGAAGAATTCCGTTTGCTGAATTGTTTGCAAGAATTGATGCTGTAGATGCAAGCACAATTAAACGTGTCGCGAACCGATTCATTTATGACAAGGTAATGGCTGAATTCTCTTGGGACGTAATTATTCCTGTGTGGTGCTTCTAGATGTATGGTTCATGGCATGTTAATTTCCCCATGGCAGGATATAGCTATTGCAGCCATGGGACCTATTCAGGGCTTGCCTGATTACAACTGGTTCAGACGCAGAACCTACTGGAACCGCTATTAGTTCACTCTAGCTTTCTGTTTGTTCTTTCCTTTTGACTACACAGGAGGTCTGGCCCAACGTTTTGTTCCATTTTACTACATATGTGCCTTTGGATGGCTGCTTTGACAATAATTTTTTATTTATTTGTTATGGGCCTTCCTTTTTGTAACACTTCCAAAGAAAAAAAACGCATATGCCATCTTCACTCTCACAAGTGTTGTCATAATGACATTCTGAGCTGCTTTGCTGGTCTTATTCCTTAAAGTGACATGGGATACAAAATAATATTGACTAGAGTTTTTTTTTTTTAAATATTAATGTTGACTCTGGTTACATGGATGAGTTTTCACCTGGTTCTAGCCTGCCTTGGAGTGGGGTGACATCAGTCATGCATGTGCGACTTAAAGTGAAAGCCTTAGCACTTTAAAATTTGCTTCATATATTCTTGGAAGTTAAAGTAAAATTTTTAGTTTATTAAGTTGGTCTCACTTATTGATAAATTTTATCAATTTAATTTTTATATATTTTTTAAATTATCATATTAATCTTTTAGATTTTAAAATGCAAATAAATTTTCAAATTAATTTGACATATAAAATATATTGATAATTTAGCATGTATATATGGCTAATCACTACAGGTGATGGATGATGGTAGTAGTTGCCAACTCTGATGACTGGTAGGGACCAGCTATGACCGTCAATGGTGGTGGGTGACTGTAAGCAGTGGCAATAAGCGTAGGTCACAATAGCTTACAGTGACTAAATGTAGTATGTTTTTAAAGTATAAAAAAGAAGTAAGATTAAAAAATGATAACAATATTGGAATCGTTTAGATACAAAATATCTATTCAAACAAGGTTTCTTTTAATCATTGGCCAAAATAACAAGTTTTTTTTTTAAAAAAAAATTGGTCAAACACTATTTTAAACTCATGCTTTTGATTCTGCATTGATTTTCTCTAACACTAAATATCTATATTTAGTTGGAGAAGAGAGGAGGGATTTTAATGAAGGAAAGAGAGGAAGAGAAATCCCTCCAATTTGAATCCCTTCCCTCCCCTTCCAACCAAACAGGAGGTAAAGAGTTAAATGCTTGAAAATAGAAATGTTGCATAATAAATGTTCCCTTTAGGTATTGAGCTTCATGCCTTTCTATAAAAGAATACAATTAGTTCTTTCTTTCATTAATGCTTTAGAGTTATTTATTTGAACAAGCGTTACTTAACAGTTTAGACTTTAGAGATACTGTTAGAGAATAAAAGAAAGAGATAAAGAAAAAAGCTCTACATAATATTTCAAGATGTGAGTAGTACTTTTCTTTAGTTTGTCTTGGAGACCATTTGCAGAGGTTGAATATCGAAAATTATCAAAAAAAAAAAAGATAAAATCCATTTAAAAAGTGTTCAGTGTAAATATTGTCATAATTCTCTCATTTTTGTCTTCCTTTGATTTGGGCTGAGGTTTCATTTTTTCCTCCGCCTTCTTGGGGCTTGGTGGTGGTGAGAACATAAGCTGCTTTTAAAATTATGAGCAAAAACTTTATCTAAAAAAAAAAAAAAAGTTGTGAGCAAAAATTCTATCTTCATTTATCATCAAAGTTGCCTCCTTCAAATCTTTACAACTTTACTAAGTTTGTTGTCAACTCCTTCAAAGAATCTATCTATAAATACACAAAAATTAAGCTTAAAGAAAGTACTTCTCATGCTTTGAAGATATCATGCACAACTTTGCTCTTCATCCATATTCTTTTATTCTTCAGATAGCTATTCCGCCAACAGGCACTTTCCTCATGCGGTAAATAGAAAAAGATGCTTTTTTTAGTTATATCTTGTGGGAATGTTTCATAAATTAAGAAAATTCGTTGTCTATGATTTCAATAAGGATCACATCTTTCACGAACGGCTTTGGTAAGAAGCAACCAAATACAAAGCTGGAAGCAAAACCTAAAGTCATATGGATACCTGTCATTTGAATTTTCCCAGAAAAATAAAAATTAAAGTTTAAGGGCCCATTTATTTAAGATTAATAAAATAAATGATTTTTATATATTTTAAAAATTTTATAAAAAAATATTTATTTTGTAGAGATTTTATAAAAAGCAGACATTATTTTATATTTGATTATAATAATAAAAAGGTGATTATTAGTTAATTATTTTTAAATTTTAGATATCTTCCTTGATTTTTGTTTTATAAAAAATAATTTATTATTATATTAATTTAAATTTTTATAATGTTTTTGTGCATCCCATATCTTTAAAATACATTCTTTCATCTATCCTATTATATTATTTTAAAGTAGTTTCTTAAAATAATCAAAAATTTAGTTTTTTTGGATTTTGATTATTTTTAAAAGTTTAAACAAACATTATAAAAATTCATAAAACAGATTTTTTAAAAAAATAAATAATTTTTTTTCATGAAATAAGCTAAAATAAACGGACCTAAATCAATACACCAATCAACAATGGAGCCTTGAAGTAATGGATCAACCAAGTTATGGAGGAATGACAAGCTTTACACTGTTTTTTTAAAACCCAGCACAACGGAGGATTAAAAAAAAAAGAAAAAAGACCCCTCAATGCAAGACTTGTCAAAAGAATAAACCCTCGTTCGAGTTCAGGAAACGATCACATTGAACTGTGGTGGTGGTGCTGGGCGTGGTGGTTTCCATGGTGGTGGCCATCATTGGTGTCGTGGTGGCCGCCATGACTGCCATTATTGTTGCCACTTGCATTATTATTATTATATGATCAAACAGTGATGTCTTAGGAGGCACGTAAAGAAGCAAAGCGAGAAGAAGAAGATAATCGAACTTGCCAGAAATGGAATGTCATCATAACAACACATCACGCAGCATGGCATGGTTTCATTAAGCACCAGGTTTGTAATCACCAGACTGTGTTCTATTAACAACTGCTTAGAATAAACAAAGTCCCACATCCAATAGTAATCAAAGCAATACATTATATGTAAACCCCTAACTTCAGTGTCAAGTCAACTATCAAACTGTGTAGCTATTGCTTGTAGCCCCAGCAGGTGTTTAAGAAAATGAAGCACAGGTTTTAAGAAAATATTAAAAAAAACCTCTTTTTAAAAAAATCCATTGAAGCTTGGTTGGTCGCGCATCCTATGCTCTCAAATTGTTCACCTAAAGTGGTAGTTGAGCTGGCTTAATAAAGCAGTTAAGGATGAGAATTTTGCCATTTATATATACAATAAGTTTAGCATAAACTAGTGAATATGAACAGTATTGATAATTCATAACAACTACATTTTTTCCCCTCAACAATTGCAAGTTTTTATATCAACATCAAAAAGTGAGACTTAAATTTACAGCACTTTAAAACAATTCTAGACGGTCCATATGCCACTATAACATCATAGTACAAGAATATTAAATGATTCATCTACGCCTTTGATTATATTCCAAAACTTCTTAACTACCTAACACTTGTTAACTACAACCCCTACCGAAGCTTTTTAAAAATCCTCCGCGTTAGCCACCAAAACCAGAGCAATCTTCAATATCTTAAAGCTACTTGAACCTCGAAAATTCTTTCCTCATTTCACTTATGCTCCGACGTGCCTCTTTGGGGATTGCACCATCAAGCCAATTATCAACAAAATTGCATGAACAAGCTTCCTAAATATAGAACACCTCAAAGTTTAAAGTTTAAAGCTATCAAGCAAGCAATTTGTTTAAAGCTATCATGCATATTCAATTTGGGCTATCACATTTGTCATCAAGCAAGCAATTTTGAAGTTTAAAGTTATCATATTCAATTCGGGCAAACAGAACAGATGTAACATCTCATATGGATCAATCAGACAAGTCAACCAAATAAAAATACATATTCAAGCAGTTGGTTATCGATAATTTAGCTATATCTCCTTGGCTCCAATCCCAGCAAAAGGGTTCTCACAAACCAAACATGTCAAGGAAAACCAATTAAGAATAAGAGACATGATAATTTATAAACCTTTGGATTTCAGAGTTACAAGAAAAAAGCTTTGATATAAAGTTAAACGTCCATGTCGACTATTACGCATCCAGAACTAGATGCAGTCTAAATTATTGAATTTCTTCTCTAGGTTATATTTCTTAAATTGCAACACACAAAAAATACTTAGAAGCTTAGGGTGATCATTGACTCATTTGAAATCTGCATTCATATGGAAAACATTATATATTAAAGTCAATGAAAATCTTTCCAACTTTGACTTATTTATTGACTCATTTGAAATTTCTTTCGATACTGGATTATGGTTAGGAGATTTTTTTTTCATAAAACATTAATTTCCTTTGGAACAAAAAGGAAAACAACATGATAATGTAATCTGTTACCTCTGGATTTTCATATGGATGAGATGAAGAATTAGCTAGATTGGACGCCAATCCACCACTATATTTGGGAGATGAGAAATTTTGGGCCATTCTGAACCTCTTCCTCTTTCACATTTTTCTGCTAAAAGTGGAGCTCCATTGAGACTAAGTGTATGCAAATTAGCAAGACGATGCATACCTTCAGGCAATGACTCCAAATTTTGACATCCCAGAATATCAATAAATCGAAGTGATTGGAGATTGCAGATCCATTCTGGTAAAGCTTTGAGATTTTCACATGAGTAAATACAAAAACCTTGAAGTGAATGGAGGCAATGAAGGTCTTGGAACTCTGTGCTAAAATCCTCGCCATCACTACAACCTTGTAAATCAAAGTTGTCCATGTTCCAGGTACTGAATTCTTCAAGGAAGCAGGCAGATGTTTCATATGATGAAGCACAATTCCTTGACTTGATAAGAATGAAATAGAAAGATTCTTCAGAGAGGTGAGATTTTGCATCCACTTCTCTGGTAAAGCTTCTATGCCCATGTCATCAATGTCTAGATCCTCAAGCATGGATAGAGATGGGCGTAATGATAATTCTTCTTCTTTGGGTGATCGAGCTGTGCTCATATGTAATGTGTCCATCAATGGCTTCATGCTACAGTTGCTCAAATCCAAGCCCTCAACAAGATTTGGAAATGTAGGCACGCAACTCAAGTTTGGGCATTTCTCAATTGATAAATATGAAAGACATAGAAATGGAGGCAATGAATGATGATTCTCATCATCTGTTCTATTATTTACTTCAGCCTTTCTTTGCCATCCTCTCAAATTTTCACACCCAAGAAATTTTAATTTCTCCAAAGATGGGAAGAAGCTAGTTGTACGATGTGAAGCCATTGATGATGAACAATCTTCATAACATATGTACTCTAAAGCTTTCATGTTCCGTATATGAAGAGACTTGAGAGAAACGAGTCCTTCCAACGTTGGCAAGAATTGACAATTCCCACAATCAGATATATTCAAGTCGACAAGATTAGAAAGGGACAAAAGCCAGCCTGAAAACCTCACCCCTGGGTAGCATTTTACTTCCAATTTTTTCAAATTTGAATGAGGACAAAGGTTTTCAAATAATTGCAAGCTATCACTATTTTTCACCACTCCAATATCATCTTTCCAATTGAGAGTCAAAGACTTAAGGTTTTTCTTTCCTTTCAAATTAACATCCTTGGAGTCTACTTCAACATTCCTTACTGAATTGAGCTTCTCAATAACTAGTTCATCTCTGAGCTTGAGTCCTTTTAATTCATTCAATTGAGCATTCTTTCTCTCCTTATCAGCATCATCATCACCCACTGTGAAATATGATAAACTTTGCAAAGTTGTTAATCTGCCCAAGCCAATTGGCATCCCATTTCTAAAGGCATAACAGTTTTCAATGTGAAGATGACGCAAGTTGATTAACTTTGTAACAACATCTACAGAAAATTCAAGAGCAACACAACCATTCAACTTCAATGTTTGCAAATTTACTAGGTTGCTTACACTTGGAGGCAAACTCTTCAAATTGGGACAATCAGAAAGATCAAGATACCTTAAATGCTTCATTTTTTCTATTGACTTTGGCAAAACTCTCATATCCCAAATTAACAAACTGAGACTGCGCAGATAATTGAACTTCAACAAATTGGATGGACCATCATCTGATACTTCTCGTACCCCAAGCATAGTTCACAATCTACTTGCATCTAATAAGTCTAATGAACAATGGGAAGAGTTATAAGAAAAGTTAACATGCATAGGCCTTGCAACAGATTTTCTCTCCTCATTATCAAAGAAAAAATCAGAGCCACCAACCGATTGTGAGAGATCATGCATCAAATCATGCATTTTAAAACATTGTATTTCACCAGATTCATTCATTTGGACATCTTGAAAGAATGATCTCATTAACAAAATACTAACATATCGTTCACCAACATCTTCTGGATGTTCTTTTTTATCTTGACGTTTAAGGTACCCTTGCGCCATCCATTGTTTAATCAAGTCATTTTTATTATATATCCAATCTTTTGGATACAAAGAACAATAAGCAAAACATTATCTTACTTCACTTGACAAGTGATCATAGCTTAATTTTAGTATTGATATTACTGGCTTATTACTTTCTGATAACATCCAAAAATCATCTTCTAAGATGGCTTCCCAATCAACATCCTCTAATTTCGATTGCAACAAGCTTCCCATGGCTCTTATTGCTAGTGGAATTCCTCCAAATTTGTCCACAATTTTTGGACCAATGGACTCTATGTTGTGGGACAATATTGTGTCCTGCCCAAATGTCAATCTTTTAAGCAAATTCTAAGATTGGTCATTTGTCAGATATTTCAAAGCATATGGGGTTTTTACACCCATGCTTCTTGCTACCATCTGGTCACGAGTAGTCACTATAATCTTACTACCTTTAGCACCACACTTCAAATACTTTTTTAAATCTAACCACTTCTGATGATCCTGATTCCACACATCGTCTAAGATTAACAAATACTTTTGGCCATTCAAATTCTCTTGAAGCTTATTTTGAAGTAGTTCTAACTGCTGGTCATCCACTTTGCTGCCCACGGATAATTCTAATATTTTTTTAACAAGTGTCTTAACATCAAACTCTTCAAAAATACATACCCACATTTGTTTTTTGAAAAAGTTTTTCACTTCAACATCATTGTACACCAATTGAGCAACTGTAGTCTTTCCTAAACCCCCAATGCCAACAATAGCAATGAAAGAAACATTTTCATTGCTATTGGTATTTAACAATAAATCAATTATTTCCTTCTTGCTTTCCTCCCTCCCAATGATATCCTCTTGCATAAAAGAACTAGTTTCCCTCTGATAATTGATCTCATTATGCCTCGTTTCTGCAACTCGCCTAACTAATTTCAACTTAGACACATCTTCAGCAATAGCATTGAATTCATCTCTTATCTTTTTAATGTTATCAGCAACTTTGACACGAAAAGCAATAGGATTTACGGATGAAAAGAAGACATCTACCTTTCCTTTTCCATCTCTTTTGAGCAACAAATCTTCAGTATAGAGTTCATCAAGCAAATCGTCTGCTTTGTAGAGAACTTGTTTGAGCCTCCTTATCCACAGCTTGACAAGCTTGTCGTTCTGCTGCCTTTGCTCAGCATCAACAAGCACAGCTTCAACAGTTCCAACAGTGTCTTGAAGTCTCTGTATCTCACTCTTGACGCCATAAATCCTTGAAATCTCTCTGAAGGCTGATGAACTCAACCTGCCAATGAGATTCACAATTACACCATAAGGAATTTGTTCTGCCATTTTTTCTCAGTGAAAGCAAGCAATTGTAGTCGAATATCTTGAGAGGCCGTGGGAGATATCAGATGATGGAGCTAATTAGCTACGGAGGGTATACTGATAAATAGAGAAAGAGACCATAACTCGTTGACTTCTAAAAGTTAAAATGAATTCCCGCAAGCATCATTTGATTATCAGATATTCATCTGCCGTCTAAAATCAGTCAGTGACAACTATATTAATGCATTACTCTTTTATTTCAATTTTATCCTTTAAATTGGAAAAAAGTATTTTCACAAATCGTCACTCATTTTTATTTAATAAGTAAGGATATGATTAAAAATGTAAGATGGTTTTTAATAAATAAAATAATATAATAATTGTGAACACCGTATTTTGTCCGGACATTTTAAATTTAATAAAATAATAATAATAAATAACTAAAAAATATAAAAATATAAAAATAAAATTTAATCTTTTTTAGGATTATGTTTTAAAAAAAATTTAATTTAATTGATAGGATTTAATTTTATTTTAGATAATTTTTTATTGACTAGGATTTTAATTCTTTTAGTTAAAAAAAAGACAAAAAAATATATATAATAATCCAAAATCTCTCCACTCTCGGTTAGACATAAACAGATCAAAAAGAAAGCAAGAACAGCAGAGAGCACAAAGCAATCTCGCACATACACGAAACACACGAACATAGTCAGCACAAAGGGATGAAGCAACCTGAGCTATAAACGCCGAAAGCACCAAGCACACATGAGCAAAATACAGAAGAAGCAGAAACACAAAAACACAGGTGCAGAAAAGAGCTTCACAGAAAAAAACGCAGCAAGCAACCAGAACACATATACATACACTTTTTTTGCCAGCAGAAAGAAAAAACAGAGCCAGAGACGTAAAATCAGATATGCACGTTACAGCACACGAAAAGAAAACAGAAAAAGTGCACACGAATACAAAAGGAGACAGAGCAGCGAGCACACACAAAGACAGTAGCAGAAAAAAGCAAAATGCAGCCACCCATGCACGGGAAAGACGCTAGAGAAACATAGCAGAGAAAGAGCAGCAGAAAAGGAGAGAGAGAGGAAGCCAAGAGGGAAAGACTGAGAGTATAAAAGGATGTTCATACTAGGAGAGAGGAGGGGGGACGAAAACGTTGAAAAAGAGAGCAAGAAAAGAAGAAAAAAAACCTGAGGACGGTGACTGGGAAGAGAGGATCGAAGAACATGGAAACAGAGAAAGATAGACCGAAAGACGTGAGAAAGAGGCTGAGGAGGAAGGAACTGACTTGCTGGAGAAAAAGATAGAAGAAACAAGGACAAAAATGCAGAAAATAGAGCACGAAAGAACATAAGAGGAGAGGAAAAGGAGACCGAGGAGAGTTCAAAAAAAACAGAGACAAGAGAGGAGGTGACGGAGGAGCTTCTTTTTTCTGGAAAAGCTAAGAGGGAGAAGGAGCTGTTCTGGCTGGAGGAAACTGAGAAGGAGAGGACCGAAGGACGTGAAACAGGGACTAAAAGAGAAGGAGCCATTCTGGCAAGCTGAGGAGACGGACGGAGAAGAGAGAGCTCGAAAAAAACAGAGACTGTCATCCATAAGCAAAAAGAAACCAAGGAGAAGAAACAGAGACGTCC